TATGTCTCTCTATAGTGCCTTGCATATCATGTGTTCTCTGACCACCATTCGCAATTCGTAACCATTGTTTCGTAATCAGCTAATCTCAATGACTATATAAGTAGCTCAGTGTAGTTATATCAGTTCCTCCGTATTAGTCAGTTAATGTGTTGCTCGTATATCCAGTGTTGTTGTTGTTTATGAGCCATCATCGGCATCTCTCGTCACTCTTCACTGTATTCAACCGTTATTATCGTCTTCTTTTATTTCTGTGGATAAACTAAATTATTAATCGTCGCCTTCGGACCAGCAACACAGTCAACATCACAAACAGTCCCAATCAGGAACACAAACAAAAGAGAACCTCTTCAGCAATATTACTGGATGGAAACAACGGAACACGACGAATTCATCCGGAATTTCTACAGGCACGAGCATAAAGAAGAAAGTCGAATCTTTTACAAATAAGCGACCTCGAAAATTTGGCTATGCTTGAATGACCCATGCAATTAAAATGTCTAAAATGGTGATAGTCTGATTTACTTAAGCTTAAGAATGTTTAGCCGAAAAGATACAAACTTACGGATTGTGGTATGCATTTTTTCATAGCAAATGCAAATCTGTTTACAAAAACCAAATCCGCAGGTTCGCCATTGCACCATAATCGATTCATTATCCATGAACCACTTCTAGTTGATAGATAAACCTGGGAATGATTAACTTTGATAAATAAATCAATTTTCTTCACTTCGCATTCGTGAATAAATATGAATTAAGTATTTTCTTTCGCAGTCTGAAAACACCATTTGCAGTTTTGATGGTAACTGATTGAGACACTTCCACCTCAGATATTATCGAATCAAAACCGAACAATTTGACATTGAATGTGTGATATTGACGACGAAAGGGTTTGAAGATGGTCAGCAAAACAAAGAGCGATTCACTTCAAAGAAGCACTGATTATGAAGCAGTTACTGTTTTTGGAAATGATATTAATTACGTCATGTCAATAAACTCAATACGGTAACACATTAGTAAGGCGAATAGGATCTGTTTCCCTTTACTCGTAACTTCATCCGTTCAAAAATAACTGAAGTACAAAGTTTCACGGCTGTGCTATCGCAAACCGCACTACAATAAGTACGTCTACACACAATGTGCAACTAAACGAAGGTGTTATGCTGCATTTGTTCCTAACATAAATATCATCCGGACCCTTGTAGAAACATACGTATTGCACATAAAAGGTGCATTGTATCATGTTTATGTCCGGATTTTGCAGCTGTTCGAAGAGATCGCCTTAATAGCAGTCGTTTACGTTGCATGATACAAATTCTGAAAGATTGCGAATAATCCGCGACAATGTAGGCATTGTTTAGCTATTCATACAATTCCAGCAATCATTCGCTAGTGCGTAGTTTGAAATTGAACGCGGTTAGGTTCGTAGTGATTCGATGCTTTCCAGTGAGCGCTTACATAGTGCATGAATATTGTGAAAATTAGCGAACAGCAAATGACTGTATGCATACGTATACGTACACTGATTTGTTGTTTGAAATCGACACAAGAATTTCCTGAAGTGGAGATTGCTGAATGAAATTGCGATGGAAAGTGAACAAACCTTTTTCGCGATTCTGCTCAACTCAACAGCAATATCACCGCCCGAATTACCTATTCCAATGACCACCACTTTCTTGTCGTTGAATCGAATTGGGTCTTTATAATCATGACTGTGCAATATTTCGCCTCTGAAGTTTTGTTGTCCTTTGAACGGAGTTGGCCAATAAGGATCAACGTGATGACCAGAGCATAGCAACACCCCACCGAACACTTCCGTTCTCTCTTCCTTCGTTTCGTCATCACTGAAGTGACAGCATTGCCATTTTTGTTTAAAAAAAAGTAAAACCCTTATCGTTATCCTCAAACAAATTCCTGTTCCTTAATCTTCATAAGTAAAAGTGGTACTGAATTCAAGGTGAATAAAATTTTGGAGTGAACCTCGCAATCGCAACCGCAATTGTTCAATCTACTCCTTGGCAAGATGATTCAAAATAATTTCAGTGGAGCGCTCATTTGATAACGACACCAATTACATGAATAAAATGCTTATACTTTCCGTTGATTGTTTATCAAATTAACAGATGATATGTACGCCGCACTTGTTTTCTACATTCCGCGACGGATAACTCTATTCATCAAATGTCTTATAACCTATCAAACGTTATTAACGAATCGCGAATTGCAAACTAACTTCATCGCAACATACGTAACGTCCCATTCACCAGTATCGTCATATTTGTCGTTTCTCTTGATTGAGGTCACCTTAGTATTGAAACTAATATGCTTTAACAGATCAAAGTGCTCAACATACGATCGAAAGTACTTCATCAATTCGGTGTTATGCATATAGTTCGGCGCATCCGCGGCTGGTGGATAGTCACTATAAGCCGTCATCTCTTTCGATGTGTTGATTGTTGTGCTCTTCATGACAGTTCCTTCACCTTAAAAATCACGAAAATGATTTTGTTTACCAATTTCGCAGCAGTCCGTTCATCAAGATCAGATGCCGTATACTTGAAGGGATGAATCTTTTGTCCAAAAATGAGTGAGTCATCATCGATTCACAATTTTGAATTGCAAAAGTTGTTTCATCAGTTATTCGTTGAGTTGCATTATCATTTGATGAGTTGAATATTAACGAACTGTTATTGTAACTGAAGCAGTTCATGCATCATTCAACCGAACACCAGGTATGTGCAAGCAAAATGACGGAACAACTCGGAATGATTGCGCATATGTCGGATTCAAGCGAATCGGCGTTCGAATAATCAATTCATGCCCGGTATTCAGAAAAAAGAGTTGTTTTTACGTTCCCTTAAGGAGTTCGGACAATAATAATAACAGTACCAAGTCATGATAATGAAGAGTACGTATCCTACCTGGGCATGGATCCTTCTTGAAACGCCATAAACCACCGATATCGGAGGATTTCTCGAGGCAAACAACACTGAAACCATTTTCGACAGCGCATTTGATCGCTGGTAGACCACTCGCACCCGCACCAACCACACAGATCTTCATTTTGATCACGATAATTGTGATCAAGTTCATTTGGTTGTTCAAAAAATTCAGTGGGTGTAACGTAAAGTAGATGTACGCATCGTCCATCGTGACAAACTTGGTCATATCACCGCTACGTGAGACTCTTTTGGAGCAATCCGGTTTTTTGGTGGACGCGGCATGGCACATGCTTCTAACTTTAAGAATGTGTTTTCATAATATAGGGATACGAGAGAGTATTTTTCATGCAGGTTCATTGCTGCTGATGTTTGTACTAAATGAGCATATTTACTCTGTTTGTTCCGTCCGCAATGAAGTAAATGTTTACGACGCTGTTCGCCTTCGCTACTCGAAAGTTTCCTTAACTATCGATTACGAAGAGAGAAAAAGTGCGTCGATTCTTGTCTGAACTGATCATTGACCTTGAGAGTCTTACAAACTCTGCGCTCAGCTGATGCAAAAGATTACTTTTTTTAAACTGCGAAACGCACGCACTTAGAGGATGCTCACAGCGATGTAAACTAATATTTCCGATGAACAAGGATTGTCGTTCAAGCAATTTGACCATTCGTATCCAGTAAAAGTATTTGATGACGGAACATGCGTTGATAACGATGTCTATCGGAAGTCATGTTCAGAATTGAACCATTCCCCAAAAACCCTATCATTTAATCCTATATTTTCAAAACAGTTTGAGCACGTGTCAGTTTATTCAAATGCTCGAAATTGCAATCAATGGCCGCCCATAACAGTCCGATCGCATACTCAATCGATCGCTTCATTCTTCGAATGATAATTTCTACTGCTGTGCGTCATGAATTTGAATATTAATAGAAAATGTGGTTCTTAGTTTGGAGTACGTTTCGACGAATCTGCATTGAACACTTCTGCTTTTAATAGCACTTCATCAATCATTCCACATCACTAAGAAGTGTATTCAGTGCACTCAGTTCACGTCTGCGAGCCCGGTAGATTGCATGCTCAGGTGTGCAATCTATTCATTCTACTGCTTTTTATCCCACAATTACCACAAGTTCACTTATTTATTGATAAATGTATGTCGATAAGACATGCTGGTAAAGATTTATCATTTTTTAACCGTCATTTCGGGTGCATTCAACAAAAAACCACGACACATTTTAAAACAAAATTAATAGCAACTGACAAAGTAGTAACGACTAAATCATAAAATCATCGTGGTGAAACTTTAAACGCCTCTTCGAATCTCAAACCAGCCATTTATCACCCCAAAAAATATTGTTGATCACAGAGAACTAACGAGATTTACAATAACTTCACAATACTTTTTGAACAACTGAGATGCTTTTTATTTGCTTGAAAGTGATACCCCTTTCCAATAGAACCAACAGAGAATATTTTGAGTTGATGGGCTAATATAAGCAACGAACGTCACTCCATCTTGTCTTCTACTTCAGGTTCCAATATCGGTTTTGCAATATTGTTGCCATTTCTCGTGAACGAACTGTGAAGTATGAGAAATATAGTCCAGTTGATAAGAATGCAGACTGATATGGCACCAAGGAACTAAAAAATTTCAAAGCTGAGCAACAATCTGTCAAAATCGTGTAAGTGGGACAGTTGTTCGTCGTGAAAAGATTCATGATGCACAATCCCTGAAATTGAAATTGAGGAGTACTTATAGAAAGTTCAAGTCATTCGCAGAGGTACCTATTTTGCAATAAACGCCGAATGTTTGTTCTTAAAATGATTCTCAATGTTTACAGCAGGGTTGCTCAACCCGGGGTGCGAGACGGTCCTCCAGGGGCGAGATAATGCTATTT